GTAATTCAAAAAAAGTAAAAAATCCCTAAACTTTTTACGGAATCAAATATGACCAAGTATTGCACTCGTACAAAAAGATTAAACAGGGAATGACTTTTATTGTATCCGGGGTTAAAGATTTCCCGAAAAATGCTAGATACAAGCACTATTCATGCTATATTGTCGTCATAAATTTGTCTTATTTGCCCCAAAGTTAACGATAATCATTCATTGGCCAAACTTTTTATATGAGTACAATACCTAGTCATATTTGGTTCAAAAATATATTCAGGATTTTTTTGACATTTTTTTGAATTATTAAATTATTTTTGAATATAGGGGGGTGGAGCACCCGAGTGCTCCTAATCCGCTTCCCGAGTGTATGCACGTATGTATGAGCACTTGCGTCTGTACTGATGTTCAAAAAAAATAAAAAAGAGAATGGTTGGAGCTGTCACCAAATCTTGCATGTGAAACGCAAGTGAATCTGGGATTCCGCGAATCATACGAATCCTCGACCATTCTCAGGATATATACACATCTAAGGGAAAGAAGAAGAAAAACAGAGCCCAACTGAATTTGCGAATCCTCCGCTGCTAGGGTCCAACCGCATCAGCTTCTGAAGAAGCAGATACCTAGATCCTCTATCTTAGCTCGACAGGCAAGAACCGGACTATATTTTACAGTCAAAGTACAGCACACCAAACATGGTATCTATCCAAGATGTCTACACTTACGAAAAACTGCAGGGCCACGGTGCTGAGCCCCAAATTTTAGTTGACACTGTTACAATCTGTCTTGAGACGCCTTACAGCTCATGAGCTTGGCATATTGCATCTTCAGGCGCCGCCACTGGGGTTCCAGTAGAAGTCGCCTTTTCCATCGGGGTAACCATATGGAAGATGAGGTCCATAGACAACGTTTTCATTCAGATATGACATCGGGTCCACCTGTGATGCATCTTCATAGGCATTCGAGGTACTGTCCTGATTGGGGATGTTGGGAGCCACTGTTTGGTAAGCGCTGGGGGCACTGGCCTGATTGGGGATGTTGAGGGGCACTGCTTCATAAGCATTTGAAGCACCCGCTTGATTGGTGGCCTTGAGAGCTGGATATGCATTCGCATTGGTGTCCTTTTGACTAGCCTTTGTCTTGCTCCTAGCACCCCGCTTGTTGTCCACCGGACTGTTTGCACTAAGCTTGACCATTTGCTGCTGGATTTCGTTGAGTGAACTGCTGCCCAGTTTTGATTTAACACTCCTTTTAGGATCAGATGCCTTGAACTCAAGCCGGTACAAGGCTAGAGTGTTAGAATCATTGATCTCATATTCGAAAAGGTGCCACTCATAGTTGCTGGATGGTTGTGGGTCCATGTAATAGGATTTCTTCAGGCCCCCAAAGTCCTTCATCACTTGCTTCCTTGATTCATGCCATCCACGGCCGTTGTAATCTGGCAACGACCTTTGCTTGCGGTTGCCGCTCTCAAATGCCCTTCTTGGTCTGTCAAAGAATAACCATTCCCTAAGAGATTCACCCTCAAGAAGAGAAAGATCAAAAAGTTCTGCAAAAACAACAGGGAACCAACAATTAGCACAAGAATTTGCTGATATCAATGTTCACCCAAAATGCTAACACTTAATAACCAAGCATACCATGTGCATTCCAAGGTGATTTTGACGTTGCAGCCCCTTCACAGACAGGAATACCAACATTTTTTCCTTGGACTTTTGCACAAAGAGCATCAAATAGGGGCCCATCTTTCAAATCAATACCCCTTGGACGCATCACAGGCCTTGTCCCCAGAAGACCATCATCACTCAAAGCTAAACCAGCATGATACGGGTTGCAGTAGTCTTGACACTCTTCTGATCCTCGCACAGGTCGACCACAATCCCAGAGTGCACATTTTGGCCCCAAATATTGAGAAGGCGACGGGCCGACTGTTGTGAGCAAGTCTGACATGTGGAAAAAAACATCTCCAGTACTTTGCACAGAGTTATTTGCATCAGCATATGAATTATTAGAATGTTGCAGATCTAGTGGCAGATTGAACTGTTGATGTTCCGGCTGACCAGTCCCTTGCAGGTTATTGAGGCCATCTGGGTTTGACCCATGAAGAAAATCATCAATACTCAGTTCATGGTCTATATAGTACATCTGCAATCAAAGGTATGCCAAAATCTCATTAAAGCTATGAGTAGAAAAAAAAACATGAAAAGTTAAGTTACAATAACCAGACCAAAAGTTACATACTGACAAGTGACAAGTAACAACAGCATATATGAACACATTGACGAGCACTTTGATTGATTCAACAATTTTGCAGGCACGTTTGTAAAGAATAACAAAAAGGAGGACCACAAAAGCATTATCAAATGTACACGTGTTCATTACCATATGAAAAGGTACACAAGAGAAATCAAATAAAGGAAGAGAATTCAGAAACTAAAATTCAACAGGACCAGTTTGGAGCAGAAACTCAAAACCTTTAAACAACTACCGAATCTTGTTTCAAAGGAGATATAAAATCATCAAGCAAGGCCTCACCATCTAAACTTAGGAAGGTCATCATTAATTCCAATTTATAATTGGGTTAACCAATGAATAAATTGTACTATTGTGACCTGTGCTTCTCAGATGGTTAGAAAAAATAATGCTGCAACACATTACTCGTAATAGAACAACCCATTTCTCTATGCTGCGATGGCATACTGAAGCGCCCCAGTCTTTTTGTCATTATCTCATACGAAGGTGTGGGACTATGGGGTTATTTTATAGTTTTGATTATTTATTAAGGTCAACTACGGACAATGCATACAAGCACTTGGCTTTTTCCAACAAAAGAAGTGGCCGACAAAACCAATAACAGGATCATAAGTAGTCCACACCAACAAAGAGTGCGACTGCTACCGAAACATATTGGTTCAGTTAAAAAATGAACAATTTTGTCACATGTACTCCGAGTACACATACATATAGTGATATAGAAGTAAAATCAATATAGTTTTTCAATAAGTGTATCTGCTAACACAAAATTACTCACCAAACCTTAATTTCTACACTACGATAATTTTTGCACGCTACAAAGGATCACACAGCACATCAGAATGCTTCAGTCCATGACGGAGCTAACTGGCAACTAGGCAAGGATTGACCCCCACTAACAGTACACATTTAGTCAGTAAGAAGGTCATACTAGTCGAACACACAATTTCATCCACATGACTGATGATGGCACACAAAAAAATACCATTCCACTAAACCATTCAAAAAGGATTACGGTGAGGTACCTGATCACTGAACAATGCATTAGCAACATCGGCTAATTCTCCCTGCATTCCATGACCCATTGACTGCTGTGACGCGTCGGCGCCGCCATCCACAGTCCCCCCATGTACTTGCAGTCCGGGGTTGAGATTCTGATGACCATCCTGCCGGGAGGGCTGCATCGGCTGCGCCAGCTTGCTGGTGGCGTCGTCCTCCTCCTCAATCGCCAGCTGCAGCAGCCGCAGCGTCTCCGACGGCGGATCCGCGGCACCCTGGTTGTTCCCCAGCGAGTTCTGCAACGCGGCACGAGAACAAAAGTCAGAGACAGCAAACCCTGAACACGTAAGGGGAGGGAACAGGAAAGGCTAGGGTTTGGAGAGGCACCTGCAGGGAGGAGGCGGGGGAGGCGACGCTGAGCTCGGCGCGCCACTCGCGGAGCATCTGGTGGACCTGCTCCTCGAGGACGGCGGCGTCGGCGGAGCGGCTCTCCTTGCGGGCGGACTGGAGGCCGGAGAAGATCTCCTGGAGGTCGTCCACGCGGGTCTTGGCGCGGTCGCGGAACTGCTGGTGCCGCGTCGACGAGCGGGGACCCTTGCCCGCCGCGGAGCCGCCGCCGCCGCCGGTCGGATCGCCCGCCATCGGTGCCGATCAGGGCAGCGCTGGTGGTGCGGTTGCGGCGATTGGGAGTGGGGGGTCGATTCGCCTTTGGAGTTGGCGATTGTTTTCTTTCTTTAATTTATTTTTACCATGTTATAGTTTTGGAAAATGTTTGGTCCTTTGAGGTTCTTCCTCCCTCACCCGCTCT